ACTTTTTTTATTGGTACATTATAGTTGTACATAATAATGGTATTATAACTTGGCCAATATCACCCCCTAAACTACGCTCCACCTTGCCCTCCTCCCATTCCCTGGTTCCTTTCATCCACTGATCTCTCTTTGATTTCCATGAGACCCATGCCCCCACATTTCTTGTCCTTTTACCTCTCCATCTCCCTCATACAACACTTGATCTTTTGAGTTTGGCTTATTCTTTACCTAATGTCTCTAGTTCCATCCATTTTCCTGAAAATGCCATAATTTCATTTTTTAATTTGTGACCCAATAAAATACCCCATTTTCTTCATTCATTCCTCTGTTGATGGACTCTGAGGTTAATTACATAGTTTGACTATTTTGAATTGTGCTGCTATACACATGGGTATGCATGTGTTACCATAAAATGATGACTTTAATTCTTCAGAATACCACCAAGAAGTGGTATGGCTGGATCATATGGTGGTTCAATGCCCAGGCTTTTGAGGAATCACCATATTGATTTCCATAGTGGTTGTATTAATTTACAATCCCACTAACAGTGTAAAAGTGTTCCTTTCTCTCCACATCCTCTCCAACATTTAATACTGTGTGGATTCTTGATGACCACCATTCTGACTGAACATCTAACATTTATCATCATAAATTAAACAGATGTGAAATATATTTTCTAGCATATGATAAGTATCAACACAAAAATAAACCATAAAGTCATACTTTTAAAACCATTCAAAGGATATTTGATATTGTCATGATATGAAATCCATTACCATCCATTTGAAAAATACATAAATATGCTCTTAATTAACAGTTAAATTTTTTCCTTTTTTTCCCCTCATTGAAATCATATTTTCTTTCAAGGAATTTTATCCTAATAATTTTTTTTTGCTTTAAAGTCTTTATAAAGCACTCTCTCATACTTAGCTATAATAGTATAAGTTGAAATTTAAAAGCTTTTAAAATTTTATGTGATATACATCTCTCTCTGTAAGTGTTAAAAATAAATATTCTTACAACTGCTGAACATAACTTTTTGGATACACTGAAGAGATGCATCTCTTAAAGAGAAGGATTTGGCTTTGGTGATTGGGGCGGGTGCTTTACTGAACTCAGCTTAGCCTCTAACATCTCCATTTTAAAAGGTTCTGTAACCTGGGAGGTTTTCATACTGGGATCCAGGCAAAGGGTAAGGCTCAGTATAGAAGGGAGGTGCTCCTTTCTTCTGAAAAGTGGAACAAGGGCCATCAAGAAAGGAGAGGTGGCCAGGGATGGCCAGCAGGACACCGGGGCAGTTAACATCTTAGGAAACAGTACATGTAGAATAAACCAAACATCTGAAAACCCAGGCCCCAAAACTGTCTACACCCACATGTTCCTACCAAAGTCAAAGGAGCATGGCTATTTGGAGGCGCTACACTCTGCCTACCCTTCTCTGTCCATCCTATTTTTCTGGCCTTCACTCTGTCTCTCCTTCAAACAAATGCAGAGCAGATACTTTAAAACACTTGAAATTCCAAGCCCATGGGTCTGTCCTCCTGTCTTGGTGTCTCTCTGACCTTAACTGAGAGGTTTACAGAGAAATTTACAAACAAACCTCATTTGCCTCATATTGCTATTTGGTCTCCATACTTGATTCATAGCCATAAACTTAACGAAAAATTTTATTTGATGTTAAAATAAAGTTTATTCTATTTCACCTGATGTGTACTTTTTCTAAGGGAGAAAAAGGGCTTACGATGAATATGGGGCAGGGAATAGAGGAGGAAGGAGAAGGCAAAGTGGAGGATGTGCTCACATGTGCCCACATGTGTCCAAAAAATGGCTTAAGGAATTATTCAAATCACCAACATGAGGATCATTCCCTATTTACTTATATTAACCTTTTAAGTGCCGAAAAGTGTACTGATAACAAATGGCAAATAAGACCCCCCCCACACTGAGAATTACTTTTGACTTCAAAAAAGTAAGACATGCATAGTCAGAAAATTCAAACTGTATATGGAAAGGAAAATCTAATCACTCTCCTCAAAGGTACCTACCACATGGAGTTTGCTGTGAGCTCTTCCAAGAAAAACAAATGCACCTATCAGTAGTCATTCCTTTTTCTTTGCTTACCTTTTTCCCTTTGTAATTTGACTCAAAGGCGACTGCATTTCTGTGTCTTGTTTTTTCTACTTATAGCCAGTGTATATGTGTGTGTGTGCATGCGTGTACAAATGCACATACACACACCAGCACAAATTTCTTTTAAGATAGGATCATGGTTTTATTATATGAATACACTATCATTTATTTAATTAGACACTCCCTGAAGAATTTGTTGTCTCCAGATTTCTGCTAATAAAAATGTCTCTGCAACTATATTTTGATACACTGCAGATACAACCATAACCTTAGCAAGAATCATTTCTGTGTTGCAGAATAATTCAAATCGTGATTCAACTGCATTCGAGAAAGGCTGAAGCAATTTACACCTCTGCTAACAGTACATAAAAGAATGTCCATTTCTCATATCCAATGACAGTGGGTTATCAACAACATTTCCTAATAGAACAGAATGTGGCATTTCACTGGTGTGTGAATTTACATTTCTTTAATTTTGAATGAGGTTAAGCATTTCTATATTCTTTACCCTTTAATTACCAGATTCAGTTTGTAGAGACTTTTTTTTGAACTAAAGATAGTAAGCCTTTTTGACATATGCAAATATTTTCCCAGTTTGTCCAATTCCTTTGAGTTCATTTTTTTTTGGTCATATAGAAGCTTTAAATTGTTCTTTAAGATTTGGGTTTGGGGTTCTAATTAGGAAAGCACCTCCCATCGGAAGATATCCCTAGGCTTTTTAATATACTTTTTATGGTTCAAGTTTTTCTATTTTAATCCTTCAACCATCTGTGTCTGAGGCTGGAGGAAGGAGATTCATAAGTAATAAAACAAATAAAATGCAATGATTTTCCAAAACAGCTCTTTGTCTCAAACCACATAATATCTTCTTTTTTCCACTAACATATTTGTCACTTTTAATATCAACTAAATTCCCAGTTTTATTTGGGTCCATTTAGGAATTCTGCTCTATTTTATTGATCTGTTCATTTATACCTGTATTAAAAATGTATTTAATTATTATGATTACTGTATTATTCATAATGCTTTACTATTTGACAGAGCTTGGGACTTTTTCTTCATTTTTGGAAGTATTCTTGCTGTTTTCAAATGTTTATTTCTACATATTTGAATTGGCACTGCATTTATTTTTAAAATTTACTTATTTATATATGTATGTATTTTTAAGACAGAGTCTCACAAGCTGCCCAGGCTCACCTTAAACTTGTAATATTCCTTCTCAGCTTCCTGAATTGCTGGGAGATGGGTGAGAGCCATTGTTCCTGGCCTGTCATTTCATTTTCACAGGATTGATTTTTTTTTTCTTAATCTCAGGAGAGTTTTAAAAATATTCTTTTTTAAAAAATATATTTTTTAGTTGTCAATGGATCTTTATTTTATTTATTTATATGTGGCGCTGAGAATTGAACCCAGGGCTTCATACACACTAGGCAAGAGCTCTACCACCGAGCCACAAGCCCAGCCCTAAAAATATTCTTAATTTAGATCATTATGTTCATAAATTATCACCTAAAGGTTTTATGTTTGGTTTCTTTTGTAAATGAGAATTTTCCTTTGATAATATGTTTTATTGGTTATTATTTCTTATGAGTGGAAACAAATGAGTTTGTATAAACTTTATAATCTTCCTTACCAAGTTTTCCTATTATTTTAAATACTTTATCTTGTGACCTTTAGATACATAATCTTCTAGTTTTCTAGTAATGACGAACTTGCCTAGTTCAGGTTACTCCTGGGTTTCTTAGTTCTTCCTCTCCTCTGCTGCCATGGTAAGCATCTCCAGAACAAGGCTGAGAACCAGTGGAGAAAACGTGTCTCCTGCCAAGTCTGTGAATGCTTCAGGTTCCACCATGGAGCATGATGCTGGGTTTTGGTTTAAGATGTGAACACACTAGCTAGCCCATGTGCCAAAAGTGACCTTGCCTAAGACTCAGGAGCACAGGTCCCTTGATTTCTCCTCTGCTATGTGATCAACATGAGCATAGCTCTGTCCAGGGCCAGGCTCTCCCTCTTCTGGGGAGACCCCACCTAATCAGGGACATATAGTGCTTTAACGTGGGAATCTCCTGTCTATCTTTGTGCTTTCTTTGACCTCCTTGCTTCTGTAAGAGGGACAACTAGTGCGGGTCCTCTTTATATATTTTACCCATTCAATTCTCCAAACATACAAAACAAAAAATCCTGTGCAAAGTGGTAAAAGGCTGACAAGACTGTTGTCCAAATGTCCTAGACGTAGACTCGTCTCCTTAGAAGATACTGCCTTATAGATTCTTGTACTTAAATCCCAATATCTTACCAGAGATAACTAGCTCTGGGCATCCAGAAAATTCTCCTTATTACAAGCAGAAAAGTCACCCAAATGTGAGCTCCAGTATGACTGCTTTTTGGTTCTCTCTCTGTTATCCGGTGGAATGTGGAAAAAATGGAAAAGCAGTTCCTCCTTTCATGGCAATTTTTGCTGCTTCTACCCACACATTTTCATTCTTTCTCATTCTCCGCAGGATATTATTCAGGATTCTATTTACTCACTTCTCCTTCCCTAAGATTTCTCTATAGAGCAGATTTCTCTATAGAAACTGTAGGGAGCAGCCCCAGGGTGATTCTCTGAATTCTCTGTCTTGTACTTTGGTTGAATGCTAGTTCTAGTCTTTATTTAACATTGCTTGAATCTTTTCATTTGCTTAGTTTAGTCCTTCAAACCTATTTGTTGCTCACATTATTAGGATTTTGGTTTGGCTATGCCACCTTAAACTGGAGTCCTCTGGATTTATTTAAATTGGTAATTCAATGCAAGAGAAAACGTTTGACTCTCATGAATTAGGCTTCCTCTCATTTGCTGAAAAATACTGGGCATTCGTTTTTGCTCTTACCTGCTGCTTGAGTGCCTCCAAGGACTCAAATTCCAATCTGGCCAGTTTCATCTGGATATGTCGTGGTTTATCAGGTATGGCAAATGCAAGTATAAACTTTAAAGCCAGGAGTGCATGCTGAAAACAAGAAAGAGCATATGTTGATATGCTAACACTCACTCATGTGTGCAAGGAAACAAACTGGAACCTACCCAATATGGGATTCTTTTCATTAACCTTAGGTACTTTTTAAGTATTGGCTTGTGAAGTATCAAAGACTAATCAGTTATATTTAGTCCACCCCACTGTAGTCCATTCTCTTATGATTGATGTATTTTGCTTTATTCTTTTAAAATTAATTTTTACCATAAATTGATATCCTAGGCCACCCTCAATGTTTTATAGAAAAATAAAGTTTATTCCAAAGTCTTCTACAATTTTTTTTCTACCTGAGCCCTAACAATGTATTTCAATGTGCACTATTTGTCAGGCTGATCCATTCTCTGCCCAACAATATCCCTCGGTGCTGCAGCACAGGATGAGCTTCAGTCAATGTTCATGTGTCTTAGATACAAGGTGCCTTAAACCCTCTGCCTCCCCTTAGTGTCTGGTGCAATTTATTTCATGTCATGATAACCACAAATATTGATTAAAAGATTGATGATAACTGATTGTAACCTTATGCTGCTGACTCCACATATATTAGGATCAATACTGAGAAATGTAACATGTATCCAAGAAAATACAGAAAATCTAAAACCTGGCTAGTATGTTTCCTTTCTACACTATCATCATGACCAGTTCTCTATTATATAATGATGTGAGATTTAAAATTAACCCAAAGATATTGCTTCCATTGGCAACCATGCTCTTCAGACATCTAGCTTCAACTTACTGATGCTTCTCCAAACCTAGCATCACCTGTGATCTAGGATCCACACCCACAGATATCTGAGCAATCAAAAGAATGAAGCCTCTGTGAGGACATCATGAATTACAAAACATTAATTGCTGTGTACTTTTAAAAGTAAGAAATAATTAAAAGGCATTAAGAAAATCAATGAAGGAGACAGATTAGCCTTCAAGAAATGCTACACATTCAACAGAAAAAGAAGACAGTTGAAAAAAATTAAATGAATTCTTTACTGTGACATTTATCAAAAGAAGGATGAGGCATAAATAGTAAGTAGATAACTCCTGAGAGAAGCATGACATGGGAAATGCCAGAACAAGCAATAATTCAATCAGAAGACTGGTCAGGCCAGGCAAGAAGTCTAGAGTGGACCAGGGATAGGTAGGCTTCACTTTGACTTGCCCACCATGACCAATGGTGACACTGGAAGAAGCTGGAAAGAGCAGGAAAACTAGATGGTACAGCCTGGATCAGATGATATCACATACTGTATTTCTGAACTGAATGAATTCAATTAATAAGAATCTGGATATAATCTACAGAGAATAAACAATTAAGAAAAGGCTATGCCGCACATTATTTTATTCTATTAGAGTACTGAGGTATAATTTAATGTAAGATGTTCTCTTCAGTTGACACATCAAATAAGAAATAAATAATTTAGTAGATGAAAAAAAAATTCATATTTTTCAGAAACTGGGTGGTCTTAGGTTGCCAAAGCCCCACGAAGACCACGTCACTGGCCTCTTTCCATCTCTCCTAACAAATCTGTACCCATTTCCTCTTCCTCAGCGTCTTAGTGGGAATTGGTTTAAAAAACAAAACAAAACAAAATGATCCTGCTGAGGAAGAATACGCTTCCCTTGGGCAAGCCATCTGGAAGGTGTGCTCGGACTGGCTATCTGACTGAGCAAGGCTGCCACAGACCTTAGTGACATGGTTTCCATAGGAACTATTTACAACTCTCATGAACTAAAACAGCTGGCAATGATTTGGTAATATTAATTCAAACATGAGAGCATTGAAACTGATTTAAGTACATATATCAACATACTTTTATGATTAATTCTCTATAATTTATTTTCTTAAAATGTCTCCACAGTGGTTTTCTTTGGATAGTGGCATGTGTGATCTCTCTATCCTTAGATTTTAATGAACATGCATTAATATGAGGGGAAACTTTATGTAAAAAGATAACACAGTAATTTCTCCCTTAATAAATAAATTATATATGCCCTGCCAGGCTTCTAACTCTATATAGTCACTATTACCTACCTGCCCAATAAACAGACCAAAACAAGATAACCTACAGAGAATACAGCATTTATATATGGAGTACAAGAATAAAAGCTGAATGAAGTGGTCACTTCATACTTTTCAAGTATGTAGAGAAAACTTATGTAGGAACACAAGCTAAGATATGGCTGCCATCCACCACTATCTAACCTCCCCCTATCTATCATTTTGATTCCCACCCCTACTTTGCTACACTTCCAGAAATTCCACCAATTATAAGTAGAACTACATATTTTTTTTAATACACATCATCTTCAAAAAGTGAAAAACACCACTGGGAAGGCCAAGGAATGTCAACTGTTCACAGACACTGGTTAATTAATTTAATTAGTCAGAGCTAGCAAATCCCTTCTCGATGTCCACCCCATCTCGCACTCTTGGCAAACAGCACTGAATGCCTGGGACTGTGGTGAGGGAGACACATGCAGCTTCAGTGGCACAGGGATGGCTTTGAGAAAAAGGGGCAAAGAGAAGAAGAAAGAATCCAATGTGGCTCCATAGTCAGGAGGGGTAAATCAGACCCTCCATACCCTGTTAACTGGTATCTTTTACCCAAGATCCAGAATTCAAGTCATCATGATGGATTAGGTAAGTTTCGTAGTCTAGACTTGAAACCTAGACTTGAACAGCAAAAGCTCAACTTTTAAAATTGTTTATATTTTTGTATATTTTCCACACTGCTACTCTGTTTCAAGGCTGGGAACTGTTTTATGCTAACTGATCAAGGAAAAAAAATGTAAAAAGCATTTTAGCTATTTTGACTTATTTTCTTAAATAAAAGAAAACTTAAGATGAAATAAGAACTGTTCAAATTTGAAGAAAAAACATACTCAAAATGAATAAGTTAGTAGGGTATAAGGAGCTTAGCTATGAAAACCAATGATATTTCATAGGTCATAATTGTGATTATTCAATAACAATCTGCTTTTAAAATAAAACTCACAAAATTATATCCTAAACAAAGTAAAGGAGAAAATAAATACTGAAGGGGAAGGGAGAGAAATGGGCAGATTTTTAAAACTAATAAATACAAAAAAGTTGGCTCCCTTCAAAAGTTTCATTAAACATGATTTTAGGGTATCTTAGTTGGGAAAATACAAAGAATAGGACATACAAAATTGGCATTAGTGCTAAAGACTTCCTGGTGCCAGTGACAAAGTACTGCCTATTCAGCCATCAGCCCATTTCTCACCTCTGGTCACTACAGGGCTGTTGAACCCTGGGAATCTAGCACCATGTGCACAAACAGTGAGTGAAATCATTTTATTTTACAAAAATTAGAAAATTTGGTATATGGTTGGAAGTAGTAGCTGTGTTTTGTAGTGGATGTCCCCAAGCCAATCTCTTCTGAAATAAAAATGTAAACTGGAGTTGAATTCTTAGAATTCTGAAAAGCTAATCTGATTCCTGTAGTGGCATATCTGCAGCATTATCTATTTGCATTCAGAATCCAGCCTCAACTTAACAATAGAAACTCCTTCAGAAAGAGTCCTCTCCTGATTACCAGACAGATTACATGTCCAAATACATTTATGAATGTGCCCAGTGGGGCAGAGAAAGTAAATATTATGGAATTAGGATTTTAAGAAAATAACCTCAGGAATTTTCATTTTAAGGTAGTAGACTGCTAAACATATATATCTACCTCTTCCCAAGGGTTCCCTGAAATGACAGAAATATATATATATATA